GCTTCCTAGTCTGTCCTACTTGCAGAGCTCTGATGAAGTCTGTCCATCATAAGTGACCCTTCTGGCACTTGACATACTGGTAACATAGCTTTCAATATCACAAAAAACCCTGGCCCTAGGCTGTAATTATTACAGGAGCTAAAATTGCCAGATCTTTCCCAAGGAGTGGAACAAGAACTGCCTGGTGGGCACAAACTACTGGCCAAGGTTCCTCAGGAAGGGACAAAGGCCAGAGTTCAACCCCACATCTTCCTAACTCTACGGGGCCTCCCTCATCTGACTGGAGTTCCTGGTGTCTCTTCCATTACCTTTTTTGGTCTCCGTCACAGAATCATGAACAAATGGCTAATAACAGCTCTACCAGGGAGAGCTGTCCCTACCCACAGCATGGAGACATTGGACCAAGTCCCGTTCTTAGTGCTTGAATGTTCCAACCTGAAGCTGAAGAAGCTGCCCTGGGTGCATTGCTGGCAGCCATGATGGTGCATGCTCTGGTGGTGGTATCTTCCTCATCACTGGGGCAGGGGGAGTAAATGATGATGTTATTGTGGAACCTCCACGCATTGGCTCTGTGACAGAGGAGCATGGACATCTGAGGCCAGTAGCTTTCTTTGCCTACAGAGTAAATGGATAGTGTATTATGGAAGGGCTCATGCCTAGCTTCTTGTTTACAATGGGAGGTTTACATTTCATAATCCTGAACTGATCCAATGCACCAAACATTCCAAAGCTCAACAGTTTTCTTCTTCTGTTCATTGAATTGGTGTCCTGCTGAGGTTTTTTAATGCCTATTCATGAGAATGAAACTACCAGGCTCTCTCATGGGTTAGAGTACCCTTTGAGGAGAAATCAGTGGATACAGGATTTGCTTATGTTGATGAAGTTGTTAAAGGCTATACCAACCTTCAACATGAAATATGGGAAAGGGTAAAAAGCAAATGAGAAGGAAGAATCTTGTAAAACATAGGAAGCTTATGAGAACTGGGACTAGAATTTCTTCTTGGTACTATCACATAGATAAGCTTACCACAGTATTTTTCCCCTACTGATCTACATTGACATATCAATGACAATTAAGTGGATTTTTTTTCTTAGTTTCTCCTTTCTAAAAGAAATATACTCAATTCTGTAATACTGAATAAAATGATTTTTTCACAGCCCCTTAATATTTCTTGGCAGTGGCATTTCTGATTTCCAAACTTGAATGTTAAATCACGGTTCTGTAAGCTGAGAACTACAGACAATCAGCGGTACCTGTGGTGCTTTACCTTTCAACACAGTGGGTGAAACAGTTATTTCAGGGGTGTGTGTGTATGTGTGAGACTATTTCCTCAACAGTAGGATGTATAAAGGAGCAGAAATAAATAATTTTTCTAACTAAAAGAAAGTTAAACCATGACTATAAAGAGCACTCAGCCCTTTTCTGCAGCGCTCCAGGGAAGGGCAGACCTGTATGTCTGCTTGAAAGGTGCCAGGAGTAGTTCCTAAAAGGTGAGGGCTACAAAATCACTAGAAATAAGAGAGATGCAAATAAAAAACACAAGGAGATATCATCTCACTCCAGTAGCAGTGGCAAAGTTTAAGAGGACAGCAAGTAATAAATGTTGAAGAGAATGGTGAGATAGGAACATTGTTAGTGGGACTGTAAAGTGGTGCAGCCACTCTGGAAGGCAGTTGGGGTTTCCTAAAAAAGCTGCACACAGAAATGCCTTATGACCCAGCTATTTCACTGCTTGGAATATACCAAGAGAAAATGAGAACTGAGACACAAACGAAGACTTGTACACCAATGTCCATAGCAGCATTAGTCACCATCACATGAACATGGCAGTAGCCCAAATGTCCAGCCACAACTGAGTGGATTGAGAAATTATGGTACATTCCCATTATAGAATACCATGCAGCATGCAGGAGCAATGATTTTGTAACTCACTAGCAAGAGCCTGTGGTGATGAAAGAAGAAGTTCAAGCTGCTCTGAAAGAATTGGCAAAAAACAAGACCCCAGGAATTAATGGAATACCAAGTGGCATATTTAAAAAAACAGCTGCTGCCTTGAATGCACTCACCAAGTTGTGCCTAGAAATCTGGAGGACAACCACCTGGCCAACTGACTGTCGAACAATATCACTAATATCATATGCAAGCAAGATTATGCTGAAAATTACCCAAAAAGCACATCAACAGAGAACTGCCAGACATGTAAACTGGGTTTAGAAGAAATGATGATACTAGGAATATTATAGATAATGTTAGATGGATCTTGGCTGAAAGCAGAGAGTACCAGAGGAATGTATATCTGTGTTTCATTGACTATGCAAAGCCATTTGATTGTGTGGATCACAACAAACTCTGAAAAGAATGGGAATCCCAGAACACTTGATTGTGCTTATGTGAAACCTATACTTGGACCAGAAGGCAGTTGTCAGAACAGAGTAAAGAAACACTGCATGGTTTAAAATTGGGAAGGGTGTATGCAAGGGATGCGTCCTATCTCCATACCTTTTTTATCTATATGCAGAACAGATAGATCATCCAGGAGGCTGGGCTCTATGAGGAGGAATGTGGCATTAAGATTGGAGGAAAAGTCATCAACAACCTGCATTAAGCAGATGACACAACCCTGTTTGCTGAAACTGAGGAGGCATGAAGCACTTGCTACAGAAGGTCAAGAACTGCAGCCTTCAATATGGATTAAAACTCAACATCAAGAAAACAAAGTTTCTAACCACTGGGCCAATTGGCAGCATCATGATAGATGGTGACACGTTTGAGATTATTAACAGGTTCAGTTTGCTTGGCTCCACAATCAGTACTCTTAGTACCCACAGCCAGGAAACCAGAAGATGAATTGCATTGGGGAAAATCTGCTGTCAGAGACCACTCCAGAGTACTGAAGAGCAACAATGTCCGTCTGGATACTAAGGTGCGCCTGATCTGGGCCATGGTCTTTGCAATTACACGCTATGCATCAGAAAGCTGGACAATGACTAGGGAAGATAGAATTGATGCCTTTGAGCTGTGGTGCTGGAGAAGAGTGTTGAATATACCATAGACAGCTAGGAGAATAACCAGGTTGTTCTAGGTTTCACCTAGAGAATGAAACCAGGCTGCTCCTTGGAGGCAAGGATTCTGAAGCTTCATCTGCCATACTTTAGGCATGTTGCAAGGAGGAGACATGTCCTCGAAGAGGAACATTATGCTTAGTAGGGTGGAAAGACAGCACAAGAGAGGAAGACCCTCAATGAGATGGATTGACTCAGGGACTGGGTTAATAGGGGTAGTTGTGTCAGAGACAATGAGGTTGGGTCAGGATAGAGCAGGGTTCAGAGCTGTTGTACATAGGGTCGCTATGAATTGCAGGTGACTTGATGGCACATAACTTGAGAGGGACTGGAGAGCATTATTCTAACTGAACTAAGCAAGTCCCATGAGGTCAAAACTGTATAAAACCATTATTGTAAAACATACATTATTGTGTATAAGGATCCAAGGGGAGGAGGGAGGGAGCAGAGGGGTGAAGATGGGCAGGAGGGGGGGTAAACAAAGAGTCACACAATTTGTTGGGTGGAGGGAGGAGTGGGTAAAGGAAATGGGAAAGATCTGGTGTGAAAAACAATGTATACGAACTTTGTAAGTAAACCAATATACAATAAAGATTTTATTAAAGAAAGGCTAGAGCCAGATGAGTGGAAGAGCTGAAGGAGGAGGGGACCCGTACTGGGGGCAATTGAGGAACCTTTCCTAGCCCCTCAGGGAACTTTATTTTTCCTCTTTATTTATCTCATCCACTGACTTTCTCTCTTCTGTTGGGTTGTAGATATGTAGTTACCGCACATGCACATACCCAGCAGGGTGGTCAGTGGAAAGTTCTAAGAAGGAGGGTCAGGAGCTCAGGGTTCAAGTCTCCACACCACAACTTCGCCGGGTCACCTTAAGAAGATTCCATTCCCTCTGTGAATGCCACTTTGTGTATGTGCCAAAAAGAACTCGAATAAATCTCTGCCTGGGAGGACTGCTGTGGGAATTCAGAGAAGCTGAGGCTGTGGCCGTTCTGATAAATGCTGGATAGATATTAATATTGAACAATCAAGGGAACTGGTTTGGAAGTAGTTAAGTAGAGACCTTGCCTCCTAGCTGGAAGCCAATCGGGGATGGCAGGGGCGGAGCCAAGCTGCGCTGGGAAAGGGCTGCAGACCCGCCAGATGCCGCTTGGAGAGGCAGCCTGTGGAGTCGCTGGCAGGGACAAGGGACTTTGGGACAGGAGCTGGGGCGGGACCCGGCCACTGCTCTGAGATAGCTCCAGGCCAGAGGGTGCAGGGCTAGCTGTTGGAGGTGAGGCGAGAAGGGGCTGAGGTTGTACTGCCCAAAACAGGGCAGAGGCAAGAAGAGGACTGGGACTCAGAGCCCTTCTCGCCCCTTCCAGGCAGGGGGCACCAGCTGTACCCAGGCCCTGACCTCAGCTGGCTCTGGTGGCCCTCATGGAGTACAGGATCTAATTATAGCTCCAGCCTCAGCGCCCAAAGCCTAGGGGTGTCTGCCAGCAGGAACACGGGTGGCCAGGATTGCCCGGACAGGGGTAGGCAGGAGAGCCCTGCACCCTGACCAAGCCTTCTCCCTAGAGAGCCCTCATAGGGACCTCATGGCCTGGCAAACCATCCTTCTCAGGAACGAGGGCAAAGTCAGGGGGTGCAGCCAGGAAAGCAGAAGGCCACGGCCTTCCAGTCTGGACAGGGGTCATATCAGCCTGACCAGTGCCCAGGAAAGGGGGGCCCTACACCGAGGGCAGAGGCTGGCCTGACTCTCCAAAGGCCAGTGAGCAGAGTGCTGACCACAGGAAGCTGCGTCCTACCTGGCCACTTTGTGTTTGGCGTTGGTCTTCTGGAGGGCACAGGACTAGAAGACTGATCCCAGCAACAGCTAACCAGCCTTGGGCCCCTGCTCTTCCTGTCTCCTGCCTGAGGTCTGCAGGTACCCCTCAACCCAGGCCGTGGGGGGCCACATGCTGTCGTGGAGAAGAAAGTCCCTCTGGCTGGCGCTGTCAGCCTCCTGGCTCCTCCTCGTCCTCCTGCGGATCCCCCCACTTCTCCATCTGGCAGTGCCCCACAGACCTCTGCCAGGGGCTCCTCGAGGTTGGCCCCGATGGCTGGATAGAGAGCTCCTGCAGAGTTTCTCCCAGCCTGGAGAGTTCCCAGAAGATGCCCCTCTACCTTCTCAGGCCCCTCGTGGCTGTGGCACTCGCTGCAACTGGGCAACTTGCTTTGACACTTCCCAGTGCAGGGTTGGTGATCTCAAGGTGTTTGTGTACCCAGCGGCTGGACCAGTCTCTGAGACTCATCGCAAGATCCTGGCTTCCATTGAGGGCTCCCGCTACCACACATCCAGCCCCAGTGAGGCCTGCCTCCTCCTCTTCCTCAGCCTGGACACTCTGGCTGAAAAGCCTAGTCTGGTGCCTCCTCAATGGAACGGGGGCAAGAACCATCTGGTCCTCAGTCTCCACCTAGACTCCTTGCCCAAGACCTTCCAGCTAGGACAGGCCATGGTGGCTGAGACCAGCCCCACAGTGGACACATTTCGGCCTGGGTATGACGTGGCACTCCCACTTGTCCTCGAAGGTCACCCATTTCGAGGTGGGGTTCCTGGCCAGCTGCAGCAGCACAGCCCCCACCCAAGGGAGACCCTGCTTGCCCTGGCAGAGGAGAGAGATGGGTGGCGCACAGTGGGCACCAACTTCTCTGCCTGCCTCTGGGATGGGCGTTGTGAGAAGAATCCTGGAGCTGACCAGTAAGTGGACTTTCCCCTTTGAAGGTTGGAGTGGGAGGGGGGATGTGACAGGAAGGAACCCAGAGGACAGGACCAAGATGGGAGAGTCAATTGATCTGGGCAAATGCAAGCTGCAGCTGCAGCAAGAGAAACTCAGGTTAGACTATAGAAAGCATTTCCACCAAGACTGTGAAATGATACAAGGAAAGTCAAAGGCAGGTTTTGGAATTCTCCCTTGGAGTTCTTTAAAAACATAAAATTGGACTCATTCCTACTATCTTCCTTTCCCTCATTCCAACTCCTCTTTCTTTGATCTACATATTATTTAATGTGTGTTTGGATAATGTCTACTCTTTTATAAATGACTTTTTAAAATAATAATGATAATAAGAATTTGTATGCCAGACACTAAAGTTCAGAGAGGTTAAAGTAACTGGTCTCAGACCACACAGTTAGAAAGAGCAGAGCCAGTACTTGAGCCCAGAATTAGAATTCTGAGTTTTGAGAGCCTGCAGTCAGCCTGGTTTGATGACTCAGAGGGGCTTTGAGATTAGTAACTGGTCACAGATGGAAGTTGCCACTGTATCTAGTAAGCATGACTTATGTCAGGCCTAAAGGAGAACTTCCTGCCTGTTGACAGTGCCTGAATGCTAGCTATATAAGGAGCATGGGAGCCTGTAGGACATGAAAAATGTGTTCTGAAACATCTCTCCACCATGGCCAGTTGATGACACACTTCAGATAACAGTGAAGTTAACCCCTGAACATATTCTGCATCTCCAGGATGTCAGCAGTTTCCAAAGGCTGACTGTGCAGACAGGAATTCTAGTCAGAGCCTTCTGTGGTTGTCCTGTGCCCCGGGGGCAGAGGTTTCCCTCTCTAGCCCCTGGGACAAGCTCAAGTTGGAACCTGTCACTCTGGTATTCTGCCTCGTTCCCTCCCTCAGGTACCTTTCTCCCCGTTCTCTGCTAGAACAACAGAAGTTATTCTGAGCTTCACTTTCCTCCCAGGAATTCTGCATGTGAACAAGCTCCATTTCTCTGTCTCTGCGTGGGGCTCCTGGGAGTTGTCCTCAGGCACTGCCAGCTGACAGATATTTGGTGGCAAATTCTCCATTCACCATGGTCCTCTCCACCCTGCCTTTTACCTACAGCACTTTTTTATTTATGTCGTTGCTGCCTTGTGCCACTGAGTTGATTTTGACTCCTAGCAACCCTATATGGCAAGGCGCAAAGGCCTCACAAGGATATCTAGGCTTGCAATCTTAGAGCTGTTAGGTGAATTAGAACTGTTCACCTTTTGTTAGCTAGCAGCTGAGCACTTACACAGTTAGACTTTATTGTTTATAAGAAATTCTTTGAGCTGTCTTTGTTCCTGTAGACTGAGTAGAATTGTTCCGGAGGGTTTTCTGGACTGTGATCTTTACTAGAGTCTTTCACATCTCACATACTTTGGGCATGTTGTCAGGTGGGACCAGGCCTTGGAAAAAGGCATTATGCTGGGAAAGCTGGAGGGTCAGAGAAAGAGAGGAAGACCTACAATAAAATGGGTTGACATAGTGGCTATAACGATGGGCTCGAGCAGAGCAGAGATTCTGAGGATGTGGCAGGATAGGGCAAGGTTCAGCTCTGTTCTTCATAGGGTCACTATGCATTGTAGGCAACTCAAGGGTCCATAACAAGAACAACACCTTATTGTGGGTGGAATTGGACTGTCGACCTCTGGGCTACCAGCTGAGCGTTTAATTACTATTCAACCAGGCTCCTTGGTTGTTGAGTCAGAAGAGATTCACCGCTCCAAAGGGTTCTTCAGAGATTGTAAATTTCAGGGGAGGACAGTGCCCATCTTTCTCCCTCAGCGCAAATAGGTGTGGCTTTTGGGTTGGCTGCACCGCTCTCTACCTATTATGCCAGCAGAGTTCCCTATCTATGGAAAATAACGCCTTTGAAATCAGTTTTAACTTGCTGAATGATCTCTCACAACTAGCCATGGAAACTGCCATGATGAATGGAAACTGTTCATTGATGCCCCTATCAGGGTGCACCTGGGGCAGGTGCCATACCCACCTCACCTAGATATGCCTCTGAATGACAACTAAATGTCTACAGATTGATCTAAAATTGGTTAGCATTGGTCAGGTTTTCTAATCACCTCGAGCCTCCCATGGGTAGTGTTGTTGTTGCTGTTGTTGTTATGTAGCATTGAGTTGGACTCAACTCATAGCTAAACCTCCAGCAGGTTTTCAGAGGTTATAAACTGCATGGGAGGAGATTGCCCATCTTTCTCCTGAGGAGCAACTTGTGGATTTGAACTGTGTGCCTTTGGGTTGGCAATGTAACTCCTTACCACTAGGCCATCAGAGCTCCCTCCCCTAGGTAATAGTTTTGACAAATTTATGTTGTGGGGAGCTTCTAGTCATCCTCTGAATTTCAAAGAGTTCTACCCTTGACCTCAGCCTACCTCCAGTAACAGAAATTGTAATCTCTGAAGCAGCATGAGCCTCTGTTTTTCTGAAGTGCCAAGAAGCTACCTGAGTCAGAAAGATAGCCGGTACAGGGACAGAGAGAGCAAAAGAGCCCTACAACCTCAGGACCAGTGTCAGGGAGGTGGCCTGACTACACACGAACTGGCCTGAGAAAGAGGCAATTCAGTCGCTTCCAAGGACACAATTCACTGGCCTGTCACTGATGGGAAAGGGGAGGGGAGAAGCCTGTCCAGGGCCAGTTTCTTAGCCAGGCACTTGACATAAGTCAAGGAACCCTTATGGTGCAGTGGATTAAGTTCTGGGCTACAAATTGAAAGGTGGGTAGTTCAAATCTGCCAGCCACTCTTGGAAAAAGATGTGTCAGTCTGCTTTCATAAAATGACAGCCTTAGAAACCCTCCAGGGCAGTAACCTTACAGGGTCATGATGAGGCAGAATCCATTAAGAGCAAGCTGATCCTTTCAAGTTCTCTTCAAGAAAGGCCTTAATGTCGCTTCAAGAAGTAGGAAAGTGAGGCTAGAAAGGGGATAAGATTGTCCATCCATCCAGCATAGCCCTACTCACTCCTAACCAGACCACTCACTGGAGGCTGTGGAGCTGGCATCAGACTCTGTCTGACTCCTTCCAAAGCCCAAGTTTTCCATCTAGGTTGAATAGGCTCCTGTTGCATTGAAGTCCCCACCCATTGAAAATGTTCCTTATTCATGTTTATAAACAGGTAATTCATTCAAATGGTACCAAATTCACAAGGTACAAAAGGGTATACAGTAAAAAGTCTCCCTCCCAGCCTGCCTCCTGGCCACCCAGTTCTCCTTCCGGAGGTAAACACACAGGTTTTTGTGCTTCTTTTCTGAGATATTCTGTGTTTGTATAAGTAATAAGCATGCATGTTCTCCTCCCCCTCCCCATTTTTCGGCACATAAATTCAATGCATGTTTTAAAGTCTCCCTGTCCATATCATTAAGTACGAAGCCTAGGGAACATGAGACTTTTGGGGACCATGAAAATGTTTTCCTTTCTTTCCAAGTGAGGAAAACAACTTTCAGCCAGAAGATGTTTTACCCTGTAACATTAAAAGTCTTGTCTTTATACCAACATAGTTAAAAATACAATTTAAAAAATTAATGACAAAATAGCTCATGAAACTCAAGGTGCCTGTGGCCAGACCTCACTAGAGTCATGAGGCCATTGTGATGCTGACCCCCACCTTTAGCACCGGTAGCCCACGTGGCGATAGATTCCTAAGACTACATCAGTGGTTACCACACAATGTACAAATACCCTCTATAACACCCATCCCCATCAGTAATCATCTATCTTCTGCTTGCTTGCTTTCACTGTTGGGGAACTCACCACCTACTGAGGCTACCCATTTGCAGATAGCCCCACTACTAAAATTGGTACTGCAAAGCACCTTTTGAGCATTTCTAGCCACTGACCCTGGGTCTTTCTTCATCTTGCCTCCTGCAGCATTTTTCCATTTATTACCCACTGAACCAGGCATTCTGCTACGCCCCGGGGATGTGGAGATGAGGGAGGCACAGCCTCTGCTCTCAAGCAGCTCAATCTTATAGGAGAAACAAATGAGTCAGTGGTTATAATATACATTGTTAAGTCGAGTTGCCTACCTGACTTCCATGTAAGAGGCTCAGTGTCTTCATCTGTTAAATGGGATAACAGTATATACATCTCATCTCTTCTGGTTGGTGTAAGAATAGTGAGGCAATGGGAGCAAAGCTCTGAAAACAATGCTTAGAGCAAAATTCATGGCGATAAAAAATAAATCTGACCTTAAGTCACTATTACAGTGAACACAAATGCTACGAACACGCAGCAGAAGGAGTAATCAAGGAGGGCTTCTCAGATGAGATGATGTTTGTGCACAGATGTTAACTTCAGTAGGCGAAGTGCCTAAGGAGAACAAGGCAGGGAAGAGCATTCCAGGCAGAGAAAAAAAGTATATATTAAGTCATAGACTAAGACTGACTGAAGAATTGATGCCTGTGAGTTCTAGTGTTAGTGTATTAAATATCCCACAGACTTCCAAAAACACAAACACATATGTCAGGGAGAAGGTGCAGCCAGGGTGCTCCTTGGAGGCAAGGATGGTAAAGCTTTGTCTCACATATTTTGGCATGTTGTTAGAAAGGGCCATTTCTTGGAAAAGGACATCATGCTTGGAAAGGTGGAGGGTCAGCCAAAGAGAGGAAGACCTTCAAGGAAATGGATTGACACAGTGACTGTAGCAATGGACTTAAGTTTACAGGGGTGGTGAGGAAGACACAGGTGGGGCAAAGTTTAGACCCATTGTTGATAGTGTTGAATGAGTCATAGTCAACTCGATGGCACCTAGCAATAACTAAGGCGTAGAAGAGAGGGCAAGCGAAGTCAATGAGGGCTGAGAGGTGCAGTTTGGTCAACAGTTTTTGTGTCTCTGACATTTTGAAGCCTTAACATTAGTGGTTTTCAGTCTCTTAGAGGCCTAATGGTGCAGTTAAGAGCTCAACTGCTAAGCAAAAGGCTGGCAATTCAAACCCACCAGCAAATCTGCCAGAAAAATATATTACAACTAGCTTCTATGGGGAAGTTCTATTGTGATCTATGGAATTAAGCGAGAGACTGTCACAGACAGGTGATGATGGGCTCTTTTTTTCCTTCTTTTTAAAATTTTTATTATTATTATTATTATTGAAAATTTACAGAGACTTTGGATTTCCATTCATTCATTGTTGCACTTTTCTCCCCTTCCAACCCTCTCTCCCAGTACACTACTCTCTTGGAAAAGTAAAAGAAAAATTTTTCCATTGTTTTACAATCCCTCCCCTCCAGGTCCACTCCACTATGCACCCTTTGCTCTGGACTCCTGTCATGACAAAAATACCTAATCACATATCCCTTTTAAACAATTTTCTCCCTCATCTGTTTCAATGCAGTATACATTATTGAACCCATCTTTCTCAATCTCCCCACAACCCCGAGGTCAGTCCTGTTTTACAACAGTGGCACTATGCAGTATTTGTCCTTTTGTGACTGAGATACTAAACTCATCATAATGTCCTCCAGGGTCACCCATTTTGAATAATATTGCATGAGTTCCTTGTTTTTCAATGCAGCATAGTATTCCATTGTGCGAATATACCACAGCTTCTCTATCCATTTGTTTGTTGATGGGCACTTAGGTTGTTTCCAACTCCTTGCTATTGTGAACAAAGCTGAAATTAACATGGGTGTGCATATATCTGCTTGGGTGGCAGTTATGTTTTTTTGGAGGTTTATTCCCAGTAGTGGAATTGCTGGGTCAAATGATATCTCTATTTGCAACTTTTTGAGAAAGCACCATACTGCCTTCCATAATGGTTGTACCATTTTACACTCCCACCAACAGTGTGATTCCTGCCCTTCCCCCTACAGGCACACACAGCCTGAGTGTGGCCCTGAGGCTGAGGGGTGGGGGTGAGAGGAACAGAGAAGGTTTGTCCTGGACTAGGGGGCCTCTGGCCAGCAGCTTCCTGTGTGGTTCCAGGCTGGGGGCCCAGCCCACCTCATGACAGAGAAGTCTTTCATGGCCTGGGCTGTGGGGTGGGGGCAGGCAGAGGGTGGAGGCCACTCAGGTGAGGGGTGCCAGAGACTGTGTGTGGCAGAGTGGTGGGAGGGTAACCTCAGCATGTCCAAGTCAAACAAGCAGAGACTATCGGTGTGGCTGGAAGGGGGCGCCACTGAGTGGTGCTTGGAAACCATGGCTGTTTCCATCACCAGCTGTGAGAGCTCGTTCAGCAAGTTAGAATGAATACGTCTATATTTGAGAGCCTCCTTGGTCAAGGCAGACTGGGATCTTGTTCTGCTGAGTATAGAAAAAGAAGAAACTAGGGGAGGCGGCGTGGAGAATATATGACTTTAAGCCCCTTACAGACCAGTTTTCATCCGTGAAAGTAAAGAAAGTACAGTCGTAACTCTGATGTCATAATATGCTAAGTAAACAATTATAGAACTTGACTTGTCATTCTGAACTGATGTTATGGTTGAAATTATCTGAAAGATGGGTTTCAGAGTTTGGATAGGGGAGTAATTTCAATGTGAGTGTTATAGGTGCTATTTTCCATAGATATATAAATGTCAGGTCTAATGCTCCATTTTGCAGTGAAGGGAAGGGAAGGGAAGTCTCTAAGGCCACTACGGGCAGACCCAGAACTAGAACCCATGTGCAGAGCTCACGGTGGCGCAGGCGTGAGGCTCACGGTGGTGCTCACGGTGGTGCTCATGGTGGCGCGGGAGTGAGACTCCCAGTGATGCTCACGGTGGCGCGGGCGTGAGGCTCACTGTGGTGCTCACGGTGGTGCTCACGGTGGTGCTCACGGTGATGCTCACGGTGGGGCGGGCGAGAGGCTCACTGTGGGACGGGTTTGAGGCTCACAGGGGCGCGGGTGAGAGGCTCACGGTGAGGCGGGTGTGAGGCTGGGGGTTTCCCTATCTATGAAAACATGTCGGGAGCTTGCATAGTCAGGATTTAAAAGTGTTGGGTGCTGCGGGGCCATTGAGGGAGGCAGGAGCCAGCCCGCATGTAGGGGTGGAGGGCTGTTATCTCAGACCTCATGTGTGCAGGAGCCCCTCATGTGCCTCCGTAGGAGCCACCCCAGGGCAACGCTGCCCAACGCCACCTTCTGCCTCATCCCAGGCTGCCGCTCCGACGCCTTACGTTTTCTCCAAGCCCTACAGGTACAACCCCAACTTGAACATCCTTCTTCCTATCCCCCACACTCGGGAGCCGGTGGCTCACCTGGACCCAGGTCAATGGGCAGGGCCATGAGCTGTGCACTCCCTTACTCGGGGTCTTATACACAACCTTCTGCAAGCACAACCCCACCCTACCCAAGGGAGAGCAGAACAACCATTTTCCTCTCCATTTTGCCTCTTGCCCCCCACAGCAGCAGTTATTGGCTTCAAGGTGCAGGGCGGGGGTATGTGCAGAATGGGACTGGGCACCCCAGTTAAACCCCTCTCCCCCAGGCTGGCTGCATCCCCGTGCTTCTCAGCCCTCGCTGGGAATTGCCTTTCTCCGAGGTCATCGACTGGACCAAGGCTGCCATTATAGCTGACAAGAGGCTCCTATCACAGGTAGCTCAGGGCCCTGCCCATGGGGACTGGATGCAAAAAGTGGGAGGGTCTTCAGGATTCTAGCTCCAAGGTTGGCCTCTGCCTTTGTCCTGTCCCTCATCCACGCGAACATCCACGCGTACTGATGAACTTGTCCCCACGTGTCTATCATGGAATCAGGCAGAGATTGGAAACTCCTGAGAGTTCACAGGCATGAGCTCCTTCCCATTGGAAGCCAGGAGTGTAGGGTTCTAGAACTCTATGGCCTAGAGCAGGTCCTGATCTTTCAGCCTTGGTTTCCTATATGCACAAGTGGATAAGTTAGACTTGAAAATCACTATGAGCCCTCTTCACTCGTTCATGAATGCTTAAATGCCCTCTAGTGGTACAGTCTGTACGTTATCCTTCTAACCGAAAGGCTGTGCCTCTCTGCAGGTGCAAATCCACCAGCGGCTCCAAGAAAGATGGACAATCTTTTCTCATGCCATTTACAAACTCCGAAAATCAATAGAGGGTCAGCTATGAGTCATTTCTGACTCCATGGCAATGACTTGAGTTAAGGGAAACTTACAGAAAACTCAAATAAAGTTCCTCCATGGGATTTTGGGTGGGAGAGAAAAATACAGTGACTTTTCCATCTGACGAAACAAAATTTGCCCAGTTCTGAAAAACATGCACAAGAACTTGCCTTGAAGCCCCTAAGAACAGAGCATGAGGACAGGCAGAGAAATGGATAACAATAGTTACAAGGTATGAGCCTTTCTGATGTGCCAGGTACTGTGCTGAATTAGATAGCTCATTTTATCTCATTTTCAACCCTCACAATCAATCCTAATGGAGACACTACTATCCTCATTTTACACATAAAGAAACAGCCATAGGTTTCTATGTGCCTTATCTATAACAGTTATTCAGTAACATTTAATGAGTCTTGGATGATCCTAAATTCTTACTTGCCATGTCATCTGGGGTTTGACCAGGGGTGGCCACCACCAGCCACTTGGGAAGCCCTGGAGAAGAGACTCTGGTGGCCAGGTCTCAGGCTCAGGTTTCTGATCCAGGATCAATCAGGGCCTGATGTGACTCCTTGCCTCTTCTCTCTCTGTGTGCCCAGGTCCTGGACGCCCTCCGAGAGATGCCCCCTTCCCAGGTGCTTGCCCTGCGTCAGCAGACCCAGTTCCTGTGGGATGCCTATTTCTCCTCACTGGAGAAGATTGTGCACACCACTCTAGAGGTGAGAAGGCTCCTTGTCATCCCATACTTCTTTCAGATACCTCATCTTCCCTGTCTCCTGCTTGGGGTTCTCCCTTGAAATGCCTCCAGAGAAAGTCTGAGACTTGGCTGTAAGACTGTGAGATTGTTCCTTCTCCAGTCTGGGCCTCAGTTTCTCATGTATAGGGGAGACAGCTGTGGCAAATAGATTTCAATTTATGTGGTTACTGCAGTTGGTCAGAGGTGGCTGCCTGGGGTCCTGCATTGGCGAGGATTTCTGGTAAGAATGTCATGACTTGTTGCCTGCCAACCCTGGAGAGCCAGCAGTGAGTGTTCCTATAGGCTTCTGCAGCTGAACCTCTCTGCCTCCAGGAACCTGGTGATGCTACTTCAACCCTCTCTGAAACCTGACGAGGAAAGTGTGGGGCTCCCCAGGACCAGGGTCACACTGGCCACCTCTCTGCACATCCCTCTCATTTCAGATTATTCAGGACAGAATCCTTGGAGCCTCTGGCCACTCCTCCCTGATGTGGAACAGCGTCCCAGGAGCACTACTGGCCCTGACTACTTTTTCCACGAACCCCGAGAACTTCCCTTTCTACCACCTTCATCAGGGTATGCCCTGCCCTGGCGGTGGGCCATCTTAACATCCTTTTATCATTTCTCTCCATGTCTGCCCCAGCATCTTCCTCAGAGCCTTTCCAAGACCCCCCTGAATCCCCAACAGCTCTCCTGGACCTCCTAATCCTCCCATTTAGATCTCCTCCTATGCTGATGGCCTGTTTCTCGTTCCCAGGTTCCCATCCTGTGGGCAGGTTCAGTGCCCTGATCCGAGTGGAGGCCTCAGGCCTCTTCCCCCTGAAACTCATCCAGGCGGTGGCAGGCTCGAAGCACTGTGCCCAGGTCTGCCTCTGCAAGCTCACGTCCTGGGATCCAGGGTGGGAGCAGGAGTCAGGGAAAGGCCCCTGACATCATCTAGACTCTAAGAATACTACATATTTTGGGAGGAGACAGAGGGAGAAATTCTAAGTGCCCTTCCTACCTTTCTTTTTAAGTCCTAAGTCTCTTCCTCTCCCCCAAATGTAAATAGAGCAGCTCACCTGAAAAACAGATGTTTGAGGCTGGCAACATAAAGCTTCATTCACTCATTCATTCATTTATGCATCACCACTCAGCAGTTGCTTTCTGAGTACCAGCCCCTGAGCTGAACAGAGGACTCAGAAAAGGAGGAAACGAATCAGCCAGCAGGGTTCAGATTCAAGTAGCACTTATTGACACATGGACTGTCAACTCTCACTTTCCCTGATGGCAGCTAGACTCAAAACAGCACAGACGGAAGAGGGAAGCTGTCCGCATAACCAGGGTGCAGGTGGTGAGGTTCCACACACAGTCAAGGGAACAGCAGGTAGGAGGGAGGGAAGACAGGCAGGGCTGCAGGCTAAGGGCTACTAACCTCAGGTGGCCACCCTCATCTGGACAGAAGCTCAGAGAGCAAGACAGAGCAGCAATAAAAGAATCTCCTCAATATGCACATATACTGCTGTTTGCCTACTTCATCCACCTGAGAAAAGCACACTCCTGGGACCCCCTCCTGTTCCAGCCCTCAACCCTGTCTTCAGCACCACCCCTCTTTCTTCCTAGATCTTGGTTCTCTGGAGCAGTGAGAGGCCACCCCCACCCAGGGGGCAGTGGCCCGAGACAGCCATCCCCTTGACAGTCATTGAGGGACACAGGAAGGTGAGGGTTAGGGAGGGGGTGGAGGGGTGCTTGTGTGGGTCAGAACTAAGGCTGGACTTCAAGTTGGCTCTGAAGAAATTGGGTAGTATGTTTCAGCTGTGGGTCTAATATCTTTCGTCAAAGCTGGCTTCTAAGAAACAGACCAGGGTGGGCTTGATGGTCCTGGGCTGGCTCGTCTTTCTGTTTCTTTCATACGAAAGGATGTTTGACAACCCTTCCCAGTGCTTCTGTGTCAATGAGGCAATGGAGACATTTCGAGGTGTCAAAACCAGAAGGACCAGAGGTCAACTGTCCATCTTACCCAGAGACCAAATGCCCTTTTACCCAGCTCCCAGGCTTTCTGCTGTCCATAGCTCTTTCCTCCACACCACCCCTTCAGGGGTTCCTAGTCAGTGGCCACTCATGTTTGGCTGTGGAAGGCCAAGGAGGAGTCCTACAGCCGGGTGGTCCTCTCTGCGCTCCCCTGCAGGCCAGCGATCGCTTCCTCCCACAGAGCACCATCAGTACTGATGCCATCATCAGCCTCGATGCCCACAACAGTCTCTCCACAAGTGAGGTGAGAGCTGGGTCCAAGCCCAGTGTGTATGGGGAAGGACCAGAAGGTCCTCTCAGCTTCAGGGTTTCCTAGAGCCAGGAGGACCAGGGATCAAGACGTCCAGCCTCTGGCTTCCAAAACCACCCCACCATGCCAACCAGTCTCCTCACTAGAAATCTCACATGGGCTGTCACAGACCTTGGGACCATTTTTTTAGTGTGTCTCAGCCAGAAATACCCCCTTAAGAGTCCTTTCTGCCTTCCTGTCATCGCTTTCATGCTATACCTTTAGCTGGTTCCAGAGTCATGGCTACCTTCTCTTGTCCCCTGTGTCCCTCAGGCAGGCAGGCCTTGCGTCTGTATCTCTAGATGATCCTGGTTGCATGGTAAGTCTTTCCTCACATCTTACTTGAATCCCTCCTTAGGTGGACTTTGCCTTTTTGGTGTGGCTGAGCTTCCCGGAGCGGATGGTGGGCTTTCTGACTTGGAGCCACTTCTGGGACGAGGCCCAGGGTGGCTGGGGCTACACTGCCGAGAAGGCCAATGAATTCTCCATGGTTCTCACCTCCGCTGCCTTCTACCATAGGTATAGCACGGGCCCTGGTACAGGGACAACAAGCCCCCTTCCTGAACCAGGAGCAGGGTGGAATGAGGTGAACACAGCCATGAGTTTAGAGTCCAGAGATCCAAATTGTGTGGTCCTGGGCAGGCCTTCTCTCCTCTCTTGAGCCTTTTCCCTCCCCTGTAAAATAAGATCTGTTTGCCTCACATGACTGGTGTGATAATCCAAATGGGAATGCGTGTAAATCCCTGCCACACAGTTCAACAAGTGGTAGCGAGAGTTATTCTTATAAGTAGGGTAGTGCAGAGGGGGTGAACAGTGGCCATGGTCTGATGATGGTGATTCAGGGAGGGGGTGACAATAGAATGACCCTGATGAGTTTTAAATGTGTGCATGGTGAGTTGGGGATTAACATAGGTCTTTAAAAGCTCAATAAGAAATAGGATGGGGACTGAATTCCAGAGGGCCTCTCAGATTCTCTAAGGGGTTCTTTATACAAGTTGAAAAGAAATATACGTAACCTGGGGCCTCTTCAGGAGGTAACCAGGCACTTTCCAGAGAGCACGGCACAGAGTGAAGCATACCCCTTGGCATCTGCACAGTGAGACCAGCTGCTGTATGGGTTTGTGAGAAGTGAGGCATCAGCTGGCCAATCCACCATTCAGCATTCCTGAAGCTAAGTTTTCAGCTGCCGTGTCTGATGAACTTCATTAATCTGGCTCCATTGGAGTCCAGAATTCAGCACAGTGGTCGGGATCTCAAGGAACTGTAAGGGAGGGGATAAGGGGCACTGCATGCCACAGAGTGGACACAAGCTGGCACATTGGAGAGATCTTCTTGCTGGAGATGGAGGGCCCTGAGGCAGTTCAGAAAAGAGCAATGAGGATAGGGTCAAAGGGAAACAGGGAGGGTTGGGGTGAGAGAAAGAACAGGACTTGGGGTGAAGTTAGCTGCTGCAGCCTCTCTCTGTCCTCCTCGTTTGTCCAGGTATTACCACACTCTGTTCACTCACTTCCTGCCCAAAGCTCTAAGGACCTTGGCAGATGAGGCACCCACCTGTGTGGACGTCCTGATGAACTTCCTGGTAGCGGCAGTAACCAAGCTGCCTCCTATCAAGGTGCTGCCTGGGAAGCAGCATCAGGAAGCTAGACCTTCACTGGTAAGGAGGGTGAAAGGGGCCAGCACTGGCTAAGAGAGGATGGAGAGGGAAGGGAGAGAGGGAGCATTCCCTCTCAGGTAACCCAGGGCCTTGCTGAGGGGTGTGTGTGCACATGTGGTAAAGGAGAGGGAAAAACACATGAGCCCGCCTTTTCACTGCATTTCTCTTGCCCCTCTTATAGACATCTGGAGGCCCGGAGCCAGAGCTGCAACGTCCTGATCGGAACTGCATCAATCTGATGGCTGCAGGGTTCGGCCACATGCCCCTGGTGTCCTCTCACCTCCGTCTGGACCCAGTGCTTTTCAAGGATCCAGTATCTGTGTTGCGCAAGAAGTACCGCAGCCTGGAGAAGCCCTAGAACTGGCAAGTGGAGACCACAGTTCTGTTCTTAGGAGACACTGCACCTACCCTAGAGTTAGTTAAAAGTCAGATCCTGGCTAGCCAGTTACAGCCACAGGGCTCCATCCTTGAAGAGGAAGGCCAGCTCTTCCCTCTTCCAAAGCCTCTGCAGGCATTACACTTGCTCCGGGCCTTTACACATGCAGATCCCTTTGCCAGAACCTTTTCTTCTTCCTCCTCTGCTTTTTTACTGAGCTAGTGAGCGTAGGTGGCATAGTCTGCAGAGAATTGCCTGGCTAAGCCCAAGGCCACACCTTTCTCACTGTTAGAACCTGCTAAGCATCTCTGTTGGAGAAAGATAGGCAAATCTCCTCCCTTTTGATTTATAACCTCGCTTGATGGCAGTGAGTTTTCTAGTCAACCAACATCTACTTGTTTTTCAGGTCTTCATCTCCTCCAGGGACTTACCTGACCCCCTATTCCCACCTGGACAAGTCTGGGTTGGAAGAAGTATAACCAGAGTGTCCCTTAGATGCAAAAGTAGTAAGACTTTGTCTTACAAACTTTGGGCATGTAATCAGGAGGTCCCAGTGTTTAGAAGGGACACCATGCTTGGAAGGATGGAGAAGGTTCAGCCAAGGAGAGAAAGACTCTCAAGGAGTGACTGCATCACGTGGTTAATGCACTGTGGGGATTGTGCGGGGGTCCGGCGGGGTATCTGTTGTACATAGGGTCGTCATGAATCAAAATTGCCTAACAACAACGGCATGGACCCCGGATGGAGCCAGGCTCTGCCTTGAGTGTTCAGGCTGGCAGGGCCCAGGACTGACTGACCTGTGAGCGCGAGGACTAGGCCTCGTCCTCTTCACCCTGAACATGCAAGTGCATGATAAATATTTGACGAATAAATAGGTGTCACAAAATTTGCCGCTTACTTACTATATGCCTGGCTCTTTTTTTTTCTTTTTCAATTTTTTTATTGTTATTATTAATTTCAATGAACATCTACAGAGATTTTGGAATTCCATTCATTCATTGTTGCACTTTTCTCCCCACCCCCCCCTCCACCTCTACCCCCAGTTCGCTCCTCTCCTTGAAAAGCAAAAGACAAACTCCTTCATTTGTACACAATCCCCTCCCCCACCCCACACATCCCCACCCCCACACCAAGTATACTCCACTCTGCAACCCTCATTCCGGACTCTTATGATAATCATAATGCTCTGAAATATATTAATTTTAAACTATTCTCTCCCTCATCGGCTTCAATGCAGTACCTGGCTCTTGATGGTGGAATGTGGATGGGAGGACACAACCCTTGTTTACAGCCTTATCAGGGTTCTTAGAGGTAGATAACTGCTTGCAGACAGCTGGGCTATTAACACAATCCTTGCGCCCCAGTGAAGGAGCATAAACAACCATGGCAGGCCAATATCTGGGATTCCATTTCTCAAGGTGTGAGCAAAGAGAACACGGATGTTCCGCCGGCCTCCCTACATTACCGCTGTGGACCACTAGAGGGAGCGCCACACCGCACTCTAGAAAGAGCATTTCTCACACCTCCGGGTCAGGGGGTGGGCAGCCAACGTGGAAGTGTATGCACCCTAAAGTCTAAGGAATCTGAAGTTTTCCCCCCTCCCCTTGAACATTTGAGACTCAGTAAAAAAAAGGCCCTTTGTAGGTGGGCTGGTTGGGCGCAGGGGCTGCCCAGAGCGCCCTGTCAGTGATGGTTAGTGGAGGAGAGGACGCTGGGTTCTCCTGGGTTCACCCACCTGGAACTGGAATTATCACTTCCGAAATAAAAAGCATGTCCTTGCACCCTCAAGCTCAAACTATAAATACCCTCCCAGCAGCTGCATGGGGGAGGGGAGACTCGGCTTGCCTGGGGGAGGGGCAGCTCCAGAAAGGTGGGGGTGGTGGGTCCAACCCAGGTCCAGGGTGTCAGGTGTTTTCCTGCTTTGGTGGCCTAGCTGCTTTGGAAACTCCCGTGACCAGCTCATTGGCTGGAACATGCTGTCCCCCAAGGACTATTCAAGGCCGCCCACCCCCCACCTTCCAGTGCAACCTCTGGTCCCAGAGTGACTCAGGTTGATGCTGGAGTCTGATACAGCTGGGGTACAGAGAGGCGTGGGATCCGGAGACTTTTGTGAGGGAGGGGAAATTAGTAGTTAGAAGGTGGGGGGAGCAGCATGGCTCTGAGTCAAGAACGGTTGGAGTTAGTGAGGAAGCGCTCAGCCAGTGCCAGGTCCAGCCAGAGAAAGCAGCAACTTTCCCCGCCCCTCAGTGCAGCTACAGCACCCAGGCCACTGAACAGCCAAGGCCTGGCCTTCCCCAAGAAGGGCACTGCCAGGCCCAGGGGCCCAGAGGAGGCCCCAGCCCTGCTGTAGGCATAGCCGAGAGGGAGGTGGAAGGCAGCCCTGCCTCACTGACTGTGACAGTACAGGCAGCGCCATCTCTGAGCCTCATTTCCTCATCTATGTAAACTGGGGATGGCAATGAGATCTCTTTGTTAATAATAAAATTTTTTATTTCAATTGTGATTTTAATCAAAGTTTACAGAGAAGTTGGGTTTTCATTCATTCATTGTTGCACATTTGTCAATAAAGACAGCACACACAGGCTCAACTTGAATCCAACTGACTTATACTCAAAACTTCTGGTTATCTTAGGGTTATTCTCTCTAGGAACCAATCAGCATCTCTTTGATGACTGTCAGTAGGCAGAGCTCCAGAACTTGGTTTCCCAGGCCCGTCAAAATCTTGACCTTGATCACAGGCAGTCCCTGGAAACAGTGCTGGAAAGGCACTGAAGTCCATTTTACAAATGGGAAGAGAGAGGCTTAGAGAGGGTGGCCGTTCTCATGTTCTCCCCTCCCACGAGTCAAAGCAGAATCAAGGAACACTCACAGGAAGACGGGGAAGCCCACTTGGCCAAGAGCCCCACAGATCCCCCATTCCTGGGTAATGATACAAGTAACCACTTCCTTCATCCACCAGGGACATCACACACATTGGCTGTAGCCTCACAACAACCCTGTGAGGTAGATGTTAGGATTCTCATGTACAAACAGGAGTAACAGCCTTAAAAGGGCTGACTTACCTAAGGCCTTTTGCCATCCCCAGCAGCATACGGACACATGGTGACCCATTAATGTCAGCAGAACTGTTCCACTGGGTTTTTAAGGGCTGGGGTTTTTTTTGCAAGTCAAGCACCAGGCCTTCCTTCCAAGATGCCACTAGGTGGACCCAAACTTCCAATCTTTCAGTTAGCAGCCGAACACATTAATTGCCTGCATTCCTTAGTGACTAGCTTATATGAGGAGAGACTTGGGGCTATCTGATGACTGGGCTTATGTCTCTGTAAGATTGAAGACAGCATTCCCCTCTTGCATCTGAAAGCCCAAGCCATTCTCTAATTCCTGAATCTTCACATCCAGCATTTAGGAAGCCTGTCCTGGTTGGACCCTGTCCTGTGTCCACCCTCCATCTGTCCTCCATTCCGGGGTTCTGCCAGGTCAGGCTATATTGAAGACAGAACTGGTACAGGTATCATCTTATTTCAGGTTCCTGATCCCTGGGACACTCTCAGGGGATAAGTAGCCCAGGGCTGCAAGGCTACAAGGGGAGACACACATTGAAATCCCTGTGACCTCCCATCCACTTGAAGCAAGGGCATCTTGATGATGGCCCAGCTTCCTGGACTGGGGGAATAAGGAAGGAGGAAACTCAAGTCAGTCCTAGTAGGAGATCTAGTCTCTCCAGGAAAGGGACCTGTTTGGCTTACAGCTAAAGTAAGTAAGGCAAAGAGAGATCTCAGGTGCCCTTGACTTCTCACTTAGAGTGTGGGATCCTTATAACACCCCAACCCACATGGCCCCCATCAATGATGCTGTTATAGGCAGAAGGAAAGGGCTCTGTTTCTGGGATTCTATACAGACCCATAAAACAGAAGCCAGGCATGCTACAGCTGAGATGAAAAATGAGGTAGGTAGGCTAAGGAATGATAAAGCCCTCCCGTTCCATTCTCCACCCATGTTCCTTGCTTTGCCAGCTCCTAAGGCTAAGGCAGCATTAGTTCAGGATGATGCCCAAATCCACCTCCACCAGCAGCAAGTGCAGGAACTGGACGAGCAGGCCACCCTGGATTTAACACCTGCCGAGTGGGAGGCAAGGGAAGGACCCTGCTCCTGGAGTGGTACAAGGCTTCCTTCACAGAGAACTTGGGCTGGAGGCCAGGAGGGGACCTGGTTTATAAAGCAGCCAGAGTTGCAGTATCCTGGCTGAGCCTTGACGATACTTAGTCCTGCCACCTGCAGATGCTGTCCATGCCCCAATTGGTGCCCGGCCAGGCAGTCAGTCTGAGGGGCCTTGGCACTTCTGACATTCCTTCATGTCCTCAGAGTAGTTTTCAATCTGGATGGTCATTGTGTGGAAGTGGAACTTCCCCTGGAGCTGGGTGCTGGCCGCCTTCAGCACAGCCTGGGCATCTGCATTCTGAGCTGGAGGCCAGGAGGACAGGTCAGGCACCAGGGAATTATTCACCTTGTCTCTCAGTATCCTCAACCTCATACCTTACCTCTAGCTCCAGTAGGGCAGGAAAGTGGACCATGAACACTAAGAAGGCCCCAGACTCGACTCACACACAGAGCAGTCGTAGTTCCTTAACCCAGCAAGACACTGACAGAGCTGGGCTTGCGATTGGGACATGCCTTCTTCTGCCACTTGACTGGCAGTGAAAGCCTGGACAAATGACTTTCTTATACTCGCCCCACCCTCCCTTTCTTCAGCTATAAATGAGGTTGTGATGATCAAATGGAATCATGCACTCAATGTGGTACCAGCTTCAGTGCATGGACACTGTAAGACTCTGGGACCGGAGGACCCATCAGGAAAGGTCCTAGGTGATTGGCTATCTCTCTCCTCCATCCCTGCCCCAGGTGTGCCCAGCCACTCACCAATGGCAATGTGGACAGACAGCACAGGCTGGGTCACGGTCAGAGCCCAGATGTGCAGGCTGTGCAGGGCTTCCACCCCCTCTACTGACAGCAGCAGATCTCGTACAGCGGTGAAGTCAATGCCCTTGGGGGTCCCTGAGGAGAGAGCCAGGGCAGAGTCTGGAAGGGGACAGCTCCTTCCTGCCCATTCCATCTGTGTGCAGAGCTGGTTCCTGCTTATAAACCATCACCTGCTCAGAGCCAACTCCTTAGTCAACTGATCTGATGGTGACCCCACTTCCCAAATGCTCAAATGCTCCGTCATTATATTTTCCTCTTCACAAATGACACTATTTGACATGATCATGTTTGTAAATATATAATCTGTCTCCTATTTTAAAATGGAAATTGCCAGAGGACTGCCAGGGAAGTTTGTTTTATTTACCATTGTATCCCCATCACTTGGACCATAGCAGATGCTCAATAGATTGTCTTTGAATGGAAGGAAGGGACTCTGGGTATCATCAACAGTATCACCATCACCACTACTGCTGTCTGGGTCAATCAGACTCTTGGAGAAAAAGCACTGACGTGGAGTCACACCAACACCCAGCAGGGTCACCCATGACCCTGGTAGGATGAAGGCTCTCAGGCACAAGAAAAGGTACTCAAGAGAGGCCATTTTCCACAATGAAATAACTCCCTCAAATAACACCTTCCTCCCACAGCCCACAAAGGAGAGGGACATACATAGTCCGGTCCCTGAGATGTTATGGAAAAGGCTTGAGCTGGGAGTGGTTCAAGGCTTTTCCAAGACTCATTATCCTCTTCTGACTCTCAGTCGCTGTGCAATGGAGGCACCACCCTTGCCACAGTCCCTGTGCCTGTAAGAAGGCTAGAGGGGACCAAGGTGTATGGAGTGACAGATGCCACATACATCACCTTGAAGCCACCTGACCAGGCAGGAGAAAGACTTCTAACAGGGGAGGTAGCACCGTTTGGGACAGTCAGCAGCTGGGGAAGGGAATGTGTAGGCCAAGGGGACACTGCCAGGAACTGCCACATCTGAGGGCTCAACCGAATGCTAAGATTGGCTCTGTATCCCATAAGGTTTCCCAGCTTATGCCCGGCTTCAGACCATGGCTTCACTACCAGTGTGCCAGAATCCTGACCTTCACACCACATATTCTTAAGTTGAAGATGATTAGATCTGGAGTGCCAAGAGCCAAAAGGCAGCCCAAGCCTGAGTTACCTTCCATCAGCACCAGGACCACATCTCTCAGGATGGTCAATGTTGTCCCCAGGACCAGGAAGGAGAAGAGGAAGGTGCAGATAGGGTCCACATACTTGTACTCTGGCTACAGAAATAGAGGACAGCAAAGCTGAGGTTCATCACCTAATAGTCCAGCTTCTGCCCTCCCCTCCTCCCAGCAGAGGAGCAGGAAGAGGGGCTCTCAGCAGGCTGGGCACCAGCCTCACACTGGCCCTGCTCTGAGGTGTCTGCCCTTTAATCCACATTCTGAGGGGCAAGCAGGCAGACCACAATGTAGGGTAAGGCATTGTGTCTTCCACTCTTGTTGCCCAAAGGACTAGAGCCTGGGCAGAGCCAAAAGGAACCTTTGATATCATTTGGTCCCATATCCCCACTAACTGATGGAGAATTGAGGTTTAAGGAGGGGAAATTACTTCGTCAGTTTATATGAGAAGCAAGGAGTGAAGTTAGGCTTCAAATCCAGGCCTCCCTGCAATACCCGGCCCTTTCCTATCCATTTGATGAGCAATGTGCAGGGCTTTAACAATGCACAGCCCTGGTTTGAGTGTGACTCCACATGCGAACCAGCTGTGTGACACAGAGCAGGACATCAACTTCTCTGAGCTACAGGAAACACCACCACCTACCCTTTAGGGTTATCATGAAGACCCCAAGTGCTGACACTTGGTATATGGGAGGTTTTGGATAAATGCTAGTTCTTTCTCTCTCCCAACTCTTGTACCCAGAGCTTGGAAGGGGCAAGAACCAGGTCAGGGTCCTGTGAGGAGTGTCTAGATGATCTACATTCTCCTGTCCCCTGACCCACCTCCCTCTGCGCCCAGCTCTGACCTTGAAGTATAAAATATAGGCTGCCACCAGGACGCCCAAACTCTGCAGCAAGTCCCCAGTCACATGGACAAAAGCAGCTCGAACGCTAGGATTCTCCTGCTGTTCGCTGGTGTCATGGCTGTGCCCATGGCCGGATTGATGAAGCAGCAGCCCCATTCTACAGAAGTGGAGACCAAGCGGAGGGGCTCACTGGAGTAGGAGGCAGGGGTCATCATCATGGCTGGCTTCCCTGTGGGGCAAAAACACCCTCTACCTCCCAGATTCTGCATGGTCCCCCTGGCCATGTGAGGGACCCAGGTCACATGGTTTTGGTTCCAAGTGTCACAGGGGGAAGGGCTCAGACCCAGTGCCAGGCTAAGTCTCAGCACACTGCTGGCCTAATATAGATTCTCAGAGTGGGATGGTATCATGGAGGTCACCTAGTTCATACCCCCATTTCACAGATGGAAGAGCTGAGGCCTAGAGAGGGGAAGTGGCTTATCTAAGGCCACTGAGGAGGGGAGAAAAAAAGCCTCTGTTAGACAACAGTGCTCAACACATCATTGCCACCCAGGGAGACCAAATTCCAGAATGTCAGCTTGAAAGGATTGGGTTCTATTTGGACCTCAGGGACCCCTATTGCGGCAGGATCTAGATTCTTGCCCCCTCACATCACTGACATGTAAAAGAGGAAGGGAAAAGAATTGATGATGCTCCAGATTTGTAGCACCAGATGACCTTGGCCAAGGCCTTAAAAAGACCCAGGTGTTCCAGGTGTTAGCGGCCAGACCTTTGGGGAAATCCTGTCACTGTGTTCTGTGCTGGACAGTCCAAAGAGCAGGCAAGGGGGTATGTGTGCGAAAGGTAAGGGGATGAAGGCTTGCGAGGTAACTGAGGCTATACTCACATGATGTTCACAGCCACAGCGCAGCCCGATGTGATCAGCATAGTTCCCCCTTCAATCTCATAGTCCCCAGACATTAGCCGCTCCACTGCCAAGTACACCAGCACCCCAGTCACGACCCAGATGGATAACACAGACAACAGGGCTCCCAGGATCTCTGAGGAAGAACCAGACCCCCCAATACCAACCTCAGAGTGTGTGGTCCTAGCACTGAGGAGGCCTCCCTGTCCCTTTACAACCACCTTCTCCTCAGATCTTGTGCTACTGGGCTCCACTAAGGAAATAACTGGTACAGCTATTGCAACTTACCCTGCCACTCACAGATCAGAGGATGTCAGAGGTAGAAGGAACTTGACTCATTTGGATCAATCTATTTATTGGTATACAGTCTGAATCCACTAGCTGCTCCTTAGAAGAAAGATAGGCAATCTCCTCTCATGTGATTTATAGCCTCTGAATATCCACCAGAGGACCAATTCGAGTGGTTCCAACTCGATGGAACATAACAACAACATTTTGACATGTTAAAAATACATATATATGGAAGAAAAAAGACTTGTCACAATATATACCCATTGCTCAGCTGGCAAACTGAAGCTCCTGAGGAGAGAGGCTAGGCCATCATTCAAGAGAAAAATGACTGTGAGCTGCTGCATTAGACTGACCATGCTGTTGCACGAGACCAGTCTGCTTCCACCCTGCTGTTCTGTGCCAGGGGCACCAATCCCATAGGTGAAGCCATTGCCTTCCCAAACACCACCTTGGTACCCTAGGCCCAACTCAAGAGCCAATACTTGAGCTGCAGACCCTTTGGACCCTGCCTAGCTGTGGCAGTTGCCTGCCTGAGAAGGCTGCTAATTCACAGGCCATCCCTCTCTCCAACTGAAACAAGTCTCCCCTTGAGTCAAAGACCAGAGAGAAATTCAGGCATGATGAGTTACCCTTCCTTTCTCTGGAGCAGTGAGTTCCTGAGCCAAGGTTATAAGACCAAGGGTTTATCAAGTCACCAGCCATGAAAAACTCTGTTGTTGTTGTTATGTGCCGTCGAGTCACTTGTGACTCATAGCAACCCTATGTACAACAGCCCTAAACCCTGCTCTATCTTGTGCCAATCGCACTGCCTCTGACACACCCATCCTGATTACCCCAGTCACTGAATCAATCCACCTCATAGAGGGTCTTCCTCTCCTGTGCTGTCCCTCCACCCTCCCAAGCATGATGTCCCTCTCCAAGGACCTGTCCCTCCTTACAACATGTCCAAAGTATGTCAGACGAAGCCTCAGAATCCTTGCCTCCAAGGAGCACATAAAAAAAAACCAAAAAAACACCTTCTCCAACAGGGCAAAAAGGAAAGCCACAGGCTGAGGGGGAAATATTGGTAATGACATATCTGATAAGGGGCTCATATCTAAAATTTCTAGAATACTCCAACACCTCAAAAAGAAAATAGTGAAAAACTTAGTCACAAAATGGGCAGAGGATATGAACAGACATTTCAACAAAACAGGCATTCAGACAGCAAATAAATACACAAAGAAATGTTCCAAATCCCTAGTTCTCAGAGAGATGCAAATCAAAACAACTATGAATACCATCTCACTCCAGGAACTATACCAAAGTTCAACAGAGCAGCAAACAACAAATGAGAGATTGGAAGCCTTATTCACTGCTGGTGGGAGTGTAAAATGGGGCACCACTATGGAAGGAGGTATGGTGCTTTCTCAAAAAGTTAGAAATAGGGGTGGGTAAATGGAAAGATCCACTGTGAAAAACAATGTACATGAACTTTGTAAGCAAACCAGTTTAAAATAAAAACTTTATTTTAAAAAAATTGGAAATAGAAATACCATTTGACCCAGAAATTCCACTACTAGGTTTATGGGTTGTGTACCTTCAAGTCAGAATTGACCCATAGTTGACCCTCCAGAGAGTTTTCAGAGGCAGTTAATTGCACAGAAGGAAATTGCTCACCCTTCTGTAGAGCAGCTGTTGGATTTTAAATGCATACCCTTGGCATTGCAGAGCAGTTTCTTACCACTAGGCCACCAGAATTCTAGGAATATATACCCTAAAGAAAACAGAGCTGCCACTCAAACAGATAAATGCACACCAATGTTTAATGCTATGTTATTCACAATAGCAAAGAGATGGAAGCAGTTCAAGTGCCGATTAACAAATGAATGTATAGAAAAAACGATGGTATATTCACACAATGGAATACTCACACAATGGAATACTATACAGCACTGAAAACAAGGAACTCAAAATATTATATATAATGAGGGACTCTGGAGGACATTATAGAGAGTGAAATATCTTAGTCTCAAAAAAGACAAATACTGTATAAAACCATTGTTATATAACAGAATTGACATGAGGGTTGGGGGAGGTCCAAGAAAAGAGAGGATAAATAATGAGCACTACTTTGGAACAGATGAAGGAAAGAACTGTTTCAGAGGAATATATGATTAGGTATTATCTGTATGACAACAGTCCAAAATAAGAGGTGCATAGCAAAGTGAACCTGGGAGAGGGGTGCAAGAGTTGGAATTATGCAACAATGAATGATTTTTTCCCCCCCAAGTGAACTGGGGTTGGCAGTAGGAAGGAAAATGTGCAACAATGAATGAATGAAAATCCAATTTTTCTGTAAAATTTTGTGAAAATCACAATTTAAAAATTACAAAAAACCAAACAAACCCACAAAAACCAAAAACGTAATGACTGTGCAGCCAAGAGATGAATTACTTTTTAAAAAAGACACAAACAAAAACCTCCCCAATCTCTTTGCCTTAGAGTCAGGACAAATTCAAAGCTGATCCTCTAGCAGGCTTTCAGAGGCTATTAATTGTATGGAAAGAGACTGCCCATCACTTTTCCTTGAAGCTGCTGGTGGATTCAAACAGCCAAAGAGGTGCCTCATTTGGGTTAACAGCACAACCCCCCATTGAGTACACCATCAGAGCTTTCTAGTGAGGTGAATTATAGAGGGTCTGAAGCCTGTTGGCTTCATGAAAGCTTTGGGGACCTTTCCCTCCCTCTAAAACTGCTCCATGGTATTAGGTACAGAATCATTTGCTCTTCAAGTATGACCCTTGCATTTCTCAGGAAGGTGACCTCTTCTGCCCTGGGAGTTCCCAGAGAACAGAGACCCTAATTAGGTTATATCCTAGTCCCCCACCCAGTACACCCCTTCTGGCGTCACTGAGGGCTCTGCCAATTGCAGCCATCTGAGAACCCATATCCTGATTTGCCCCCTCCCCTAAGCCCATCTCTAGCCTGACTAAGGCCCTCACCAGCTCGCTGCCAGCCGAAGTTCATGGTTTTAGTGGCTGGCCGGGAGGACATCCAGAGGGAGAAGAGGCTGATGAGCATGCTGGCAAAGTCGGTAAGGAGGTGAGCTGCATCGGTCATGATAGCCAGACTATGTGCCAGGTACCCACCTACAGGGAAAGGACAAGGAGAATGGTCTTCATCAGCTCCCCAAGAAGCCAGTGCTCCCAGGCGGTGTGTTCAGTGGAGAGACCACAGGTTCAAGACTTCTCCATTCATTAGCTAACCATGGGTAAGTGACTTCCTCTCTTGAGCCTAAGCTTCCATGTCCATGAAATAAGAATGACATCATAAATAAGTAGATGCTGAAGAACAATCTCTTTTAGGCATTCAGGCTTTCATTCATTAATTCCATGTGATCTTGGAAAAGTTCCTTAACTATAATATGCCTCCATTTCCTTTTTTTCTAAATAGAACAAACAGTATCCATATGACAATATGAGGTTTGTAAAGACTGCATGAGGTAATGTGAACATACAGGGCTGAGTATGATGAGTATTCAATCTATGGGGTCATTAATATTCACAGGGAGAGCTCTGGTGGCCTAGTGGTAAGAAGCTACATTGCCAACCTAAGGGAATGCAGTTCAAATCCACCAGCTGCTCTGCAAGAGAAAGATTGGCAGCCTCCTCCCATATGATTTACTGCCTTTGAAAAGCCGCTGGAGGGTCAGCTATGAATCTGTTCAGACTTGACAGTACATAACAATATTCATGTTACTGGGAAAATGCAGGAGAAAAGTCTTGAATTATTGATGCTGCAACACCTGTTAACCCAGAAGTTCTTACCAACAACTTCCCCGATCATGAACAACAGGCAAACGGCAGAAGCTGCATAGAGCTGGCGCCGGGCGCGCTGCTTCTTGGGGTCACAGTGGCTACCAGGATCCCTCTGGGCATGGCAGTAATGGCTGCTTTGGGCAGCAAGCTCAATGGCTGGCAAGTCTAGGCCAGGTGATGGCAAAGGGATCCAGCCAGCCGCATCCTGCCATACAGATCCCGTGTATGACCTGGTAAGAGAGAAGGGAAAGGGGAAACAGCTCTGAGATGGGTAAGGGAGTCTGGTTCTCCAGCCTTGGTGCTCCTAGTCAACACATGGTTCCGTACACGCTGACCTCTGCCTAAGAAATGAGGAGACGGTGGCTGGGGGAATAATCAGTCCAGGAGTTTTGGGGCCTTAGCCTGGCCCGACCTCTCTTCCCTGATACCTTCCTGGGCCTGGAGGATATGGAAGATTTAAGAAACGGATTCTTCTGAGAGGTGAGAAGGGGCGGGCTGATCAGCCCAGAGCCCAGAGGAGCTCAGACTAGAGAAGTGCCCACCCGGAATACTTCCTCCACTCCTTCCAACGCGTTCGTGGGACAAATCGGTTCCCCAGGGTTGGATGCCTGCGAGAAAAGGCTGAGCTGAGCGAGAGGCGGGGCTCCGAAGAGACTCCTCCCCTTCCCCGCAGGCATAGGGTCAAGATCTGCTCTCAGCTCTAGGGGTTGATTTCTCGGTCCACACTTCGGTTTCTCCATTCCTTCAACTCACTCCACCCAGCCGCGTGGTCTAGAGTTAACGTGTCGCCCAAAACGTCCACTGCCGGGACGGCTAACGAGGAGGTCCGTTTGATGCTGTGCAAACTCCCTCCCTTCACCGGGTTTACCGGGCTTCGGGCCTGCCGTCCAACAGATGCTGCTTCTCCGTGGCTTCCATACGCCCCCGCGGGTGCCCCTCGCCGCCGCAAGCAGCTGCCGGGCCGAGTGCGCCTCGAAGGTGCGCGGGGAAAGCTCACGGCGCACGCGCTCACCTGCCGGGAAAACCGGCCTGCAGCCGACCACCTGCCAGAACAGCCAGCGTTCAGCCTCCAGGATAACGGCACGCCCCACCCGCTGCTCCCGCGCGTGCGCCCCCAGCCGCCAGCTCCGCCGCACGCTCGCCCCGGGTCTTGCCTCCCTCGATCAGCCCGCCGCTACCCGGCACCCGCACTGCGCTCTGGTTCTCTGCACACCGGCTTGCCCGCTCCCGCTGGGCTTTATCCGGCCCCTGCACCCGGTGTGAAGCAGCCCGCGGCGCGTCGTGCGCAAAAGCCCGCGGGGAAGGGGGAGGGGGGTGGCCGGCTGCAAAGGGCGCCCCGGCGCTGCCCCCAGCAGCGGTCCCCTGCACCCTTGCGGCCAGAGGAGCCAGCCTGGTCTGTGATGAAAAGCCTGACCGCCCAGCTCTGTCGCTGGGTGTTACCGAGTTAGGACCAAGGAGGCCTGGGCCCACGCTTTCCAGAGGGGGTAGCTGCCTCCCACAGAAACGTTTACTGACCTTGGTTTGTAGACTCGCTTTAAGCTCTCTGGGGACAAGCATAGGATAAGGACCACTGAAGCCAGGACTGAGCCCTCCGTGTTCACACTGGAGGTTCCCACAGTCTTGATTGTTTTTCACCCTCAGTCAGGAGACTGTTCCGGCTTGGTTTGTCTCTTCGCTTCAGACTAGAGGGCGCCTGGGGGCAGGCGTATGCCTCCTCCATCAGGCTGGATCCACTGCCTCTCTTTAGAACTGGTTCTGACTGTAGACCCATCCTCTCCACGCCTCTCCTGCGCGCTCCAAACAGGACTAGCTTCATGTCCATCCCTACATAAACAGGGGTGGTGAGGGTAGGTGTGTCATAGTCAGTGAGACTGGCAGGACAGGCAGGCTTCAGAGCTATTGTACATAGGGTCCCTATGAGTCACAGGCGACTCTGTGGCACATAATAACTTGAACAGAATGGTGTTGAGTTCCACTGCCTATCACCAGCTGGACGAGTTGACATCACCACCACTATCACCATTCATTCCCTCTCTCTCTCAGGCAGCGGCTTACGGGAATCCTCCCAGGAGGTGAACCTATAAACGCCAGGGCCATACAGGCAGAAGGTGCTGTGCATTGTGGTACTGTAGCAGAAGACACGCCAGCTTGGACCCCACCGACTTGAAGCAGCTTTCTCTGATGGAGATCCCTGAGAGTTGGGAGTTTGTGGGCTCAACTCTGTCTGGCCTCTGATGGATGCCCTCTGTGTTGTTGTTGTTGTTGTTATGTGCCGTCGAGTCACCTGCGACTCATAGCGACCCTATGTACAACAGCCCTAAACTCCGCTCTGTCCTGTGCCAGTCGCACTGTCTCTGACACTCCCATCCCAATTATCCCAGTCACTGAGGAATTCCAGCCTTTCACGACTTCCCTCATCATCAAGACATCATTAGATGTGTCCTTGTCTTCAGGGTTATAGCTTGGCCAGCACAATAGTTTACAGAGGAGAGTGGAGGACCAGAAAGGCACTATGCTTACATCATTGGAGCAAAAGGAGGAGCTCCCCAGTGCTTTCCAAAGAGAAGTTGGTCTTGGTAAGAGACAAGGTAAAAGGAGTGAGAATGGTAAATTACACCTGTGTAGGTTAGGTCCCCATTGTGTGGCTTACGTTCCACTTTCTCTGGTTTCTGGATATGATTTTCTTAAGATCCAGTCTAAAACCAGCTGGTTCAGCATTACCTGATTATTGTTGGTACCTGAAGAAGGTGGTATAATAAAGGTTGCCGTTTCTTGCATGAAACCAGCCAGCCCAAAATCTCTGGGCATGTAGCCTAGGAAGGTGGGGACATAATCTGCATATTTTCAAGATTCCTACAGGATTGTTAAAGTTTGAGCATTGAGATCTCTGATAACATTTCATATTAACTCTTCATGACATTGTAAACTCTTTGAGGGAGGGGTATATCTTGTAGTTCTATCAGTTTGCACTCAGCTCTGAGCATCCCTTATGTTTTTAACTCAAGGCTACTCCATGCACAACAGAATGAAACACTGCTGGTCCTGCACACCTTCACCATCATTGGGATGTTCATGTCTGTTGCAGCCACTGTGTGTATTGAAGCCTTCCAGAACTATCTATTTTGGGCAATATTCTGCTGTGATCCATAGAGTTTTCACTGACCAGTTTTCAGAAGTAACTTGCCTCAGACTGAAATCTCCACCATGAGGGATCTTCTGGGTATTTGAAAAACCAGCAGTATAACTTCCAGTATCACAGGGACATTCAAGCCACCAGAGTATAAAGCTGTCAAATGAATGGTAGTCTGGTCCTTTAATCAGAGGAGAGGGACTAAGATGGCCTCCCTCACAGAAAGAGTTTTTACTGAGCAATCTCAGTTCTATATTGCAGTTTAGACTCTGCCCTATCTATGCTCAGATCGGTTATGTTCAATCTACTTGAGGGCAAAATATTTATGCTTCCTCAATGTATGTACTTCTTGTTCCACTTAAGGCAAGGATATCATATTAAAATAACTAAATACATATTTAGATACTGAATCCTGCTATATATACTTATTATTTTAAAGGAAAACATTTTTAGCAGATTTATTTTACATCAATACTTTGAAGCTATTCATGTTTATAGATTTGTGAGAGTTTAATTCACCAAAAAGCTATTTAACCAAGACTCCAAGGTACTGGAAAATGCTAAATATGCTTGTTTTCTATACCTGGCTCCCCTAGAGACTCCCAGTAGATCCCAGACCTCAATATCATCTGAATATTTTTATTTAAAAACAGATTTCTTCATTGTGCAACTAGTGCCTGATTCAGGGGGAGCCTAGGAATTGATATTTTTTAAATCTTTCCCTTTATTTGATGCTTTTGTAGAATTACTGTTCATTCTGTATAGCTTATTGCTGTTTTGCCATTGAGTCAGTTCCAGTTCCTCATAACCCCATGAGTGTAGAGTAGAATTGCTTCATAGGAATTTTCAAGGCTATGACTTTTCAGAAGGCCAGTGTTACAAGACACCTCTGGTTGGGTTTGAATTGCCAATCTTTCCACCATTAGTTGAGTTCTTAACCATTTATGGCTCATTAATGGTATCTTCTTTCTTTCTATTACTGTAGAGTCAGAACTGACTCATATACAGTAGGTTTTCAGAGGCTGTAAATAACACAGGCGATTGCCCATCTTTCTCCTTCAGAGCCACTGGTAGATTTGAACCACCCAAGAGGTGCCACCTTTGGGTTAGCAGCGAAACTTTCTATGGACTACTCCACCAGAGCTCCCTATTGTATGATATGTTGTTCAGTGCTGTTGAGTTGCTTGCAACTCATAGTGACCCTATATACAACAGCTCTGAACCCTGCTCTATCCTGTGCCAACCCTGCACACCTACCTCCATTACCCCAGTGACTGAATCAACCCATCTCATCCAGGGTTTTCCTCTCTTATGCTCTTCCTCCACCCTCACAAGTATAAGGCCCCTCTGTAAGGACTGGTTCTTCCTTCCAACATGTCCGAAGTTTGTCAGATGAAGCTTCAGAATCCATACCTCCAAGGAGCAACCTGGTCTCACCCTCTCTAGGCTAAACCTGTTTGTTCTAGCAGTCCATGGTATATTCAATACTTTTCTCCAGCACTACAGCTCAAAGGCATCAATTCTTTATCATCTCTAGTCATTGTCGAGCTTTCTGACACATAGCAAGTAATTGTGAAGACTATGGCCTGGATCAGGTGCATCTTAGTCTCCATACTAACATTGTTGCTCTTATATAATCTGGAAAGGTCCCTGGCAGCAGACCTTCCCAAACCAATGCATCTTTTGATTTCCTGGCTGCTGGTACCAAGAGTGTTGATTGTGGAACCAAACAAACTAAAGCTGTTAACAATCTCAATGGCTTCACCATCTATCATAATGCTGCCCATCGGCCCAGTGGTGAGAATCTTTGTTTTCTTGACGTTGAGCTTCAATGCATATTGAATGCTGCAGTCCTTGACCTTCTGCAGCAAGCACTTCAGGTCCTCCTCAGTTTCAGCAAGCAGGGTTGTGTCACCTGCATAACAGAGGTTGTTGATGAGTTTTCCTCCAATCCTGATGCCACATTCTTCCTCATAGAACCCAGCCTCCCAAATGATCTGTTCTGCATGTAGACTGAAAAGGTATGGTGAGAGGATACATCCCTGGCTTACGCCCTTTCCCATTTTGAACCATGCAGTATCTCCTTGCTCTGTGTTGATGACTGCCTCCTGGTCCAAGTATAAGTTTCACATAAGCATAATTAGGTGTTCTGGGATTCCCATTCTTCTCAGAGTCAGTCACAATTTGTTGTGATTCATATAGTCAAATGCCTTTGCATAGTCAGTGAAACACAGATAGACATTTCTCTGCTACTCTCTGCTTTCAGCCAAGATCTATCTAACGTTAGCTGTAATATCTCTAGCACCATGACCTCTTCTAAACCCAAACTGCACATCTGGAAATTCTCTGTTATTTATTTATAATTTTCAGCAGAATCTTGCTTGCCTATGATATTAATGATATTTTTTGTTTGATAATTTCTGCACTGACAGGTCACCTTTCTTTGGAATGGAGCAAATATTAATCTCTTCCAGTCAGTTGGCCAGGTAGTTAACCTCTAGATTTCTTAGCACAACTTGGTAAGCACCTCCAAGGCAGCGTCTGTTTGTTGAAATATGTCAGTTGGTATGCCATCAATTCCTGGGGCCTTGCTTTTTGCCAATTCTTTCAGAGCAACTTGAATTTCTTCTTTTATCACTGTAGGCTCTTGCTCAAAGAAGAAGGATCAGTAGTTGGAAAACATGGACTTGGTAACAGAAATGAAGCTGGAGATAGAATGATATAATTCTGTACAATCAATCAATGATGTATTCATTGCAAATTGTATAAGAAATGCAAACACAGGCTA